CAAAAAAAAAAAACATTCAAATTAATATCACAATTATACCTGGCACCTCAAGTGTTATCCAGAACTCGTGAATGTCGTCCGTGGTAATTGGGTTATTAGCATTACACGTCATACTCATGTAACAGGCACAAGGAAGTCCATGCGTCCATCTTAGTGTGCACCCGCAGCGCGTCGTAACCTCATCGCTCAAGTCTCGCATCCTCTTATACTCTTCGTTCAATACCTCCAAACAATAATGCGAGACCCTCAGTGTTAGCTGCGAGAACGGAAATCCGATGTAATGGTAACTCCGTTTGTTCCGGCACTCCTCCAGCGTGGCCCTGATAATAGATTGCATGAAGATGAATTTATAATTAACTAGTATTCGATCATGTGCACATGCACAGATGCAAATAAAATTTTATATGTTATATGTATGTGTACGTAATATTTAAAATCAGAAGTTAGATAATAGCATATCAAATTTTATATATTTTATCATTAATAAAAATGAACGATGTCAAAATTGGTTGGATACAAATTTTTGCAATCTTTATTTAGTATGAACAAATTGACTGGATAAAAAAGAATATTATTATTATAAGAATTATGTTCGAAAATTTAATAAAAATTAAATAATTAATGTTAGTAAAAAATACTTGTTTAATGAGTTAAAACAAAAAAAAAATAAAAAGCACATAAATAGTTTTAAAAAATGTTTAAATTATAATACCAGTTAATGTGATTTTAGATTGCTTATGAGTAGTTATATAATAAAACTGCAAAAAAAAAAAAATATAAATATATAGATACATGAATAGCACAATAAATATGTATGTGTAGCTTAATAAATTAACGTACCTGATTTGAGTGTGTTCGGATCTCCTTGTGAGCCTTCTCCCACACTGTGTCAAGAGAACCGGTGGACGTGTTAAGCCACTGCTTCAACACATTGTGGGAACTCTCCACCCTACAGGACGTGGTGTTACCCAAATGCAGGAAGTGATTCGTCCACGCTTTGACAAATTTTTCCTTGTGGACTAACCGCGTATCCGCTACGTACTGTATAATGCATATCCTTCACGGCAGTGTCGTACTCGACCACCGTGCTCGCTTCAATGATCTTCTTCCACCGACCACGCGTGAACATCTCGGCGAATTGACTATTTTTGTGGGTGATTTTATAGACCCTCTGTTCCACATCCTTGTTGATGTGCCACGTGCAAAGAAGATGGGCAGACATCGGAAAATTAGTCATAATAGGATTCATCAACCCCATCTCCCTGTCAGTGACAATGACTGAAGGATGTATATCAGACCCAATCAGATCTCTCAACCGCTTCAGAACCCAGTCGTAGCTGTTCTGGCTCTCGTCCTTCACAATTGCATATGCAATCAAGAAATTCTTGTTGCACGGCGTCATCCCTATTATTTCCACAAGCGGCATCTTGTACCTGTGCAAATGAGGGCAACAAAATCAAACAAAGAATAAAAAAACGTACATACTCAGACAATAATAATTAAGATTCGTACTAAATTGTTATTTATAAATTAACGTACCTGTTGGTTTTGTACGTCGAATCTATACCGACGTACCAATAATATGTCTGAAAGAGAACGGCTGACTGGGGATGCGACATGAACACACGTGTCAAGGTGTGTGTGTCCTTATCAGAATTGGTGAAAACTATGTAATTAGCCCGGCTAGCCAGATGCATAAGCTGGGAAGTCACATCTCTACCCTCGAAACTCTCTGATCGCATTCAAGCCCTATAGTTGTAAACCTGTTGACGAACCGCGTTGTCAGTCGGGTATTTCTCCTGTATCGCTGCCAATATTACCGCCGGTCTTGCCTGGGCAGCTGTCATGTCACGGACGATCTGTCTCGCCTTTTCACTCAATCCGCTGAACTGTCGATGACCCTCGGAATACAAAACCATCGGATGATTATGGTATCCCTTCCGGTCATCCAGAGAAAAACATACACTCCAGGAATCTTTCGTACCGGCCACTTTTTTCAATTTTATCTCAAACA